GAGACCGATAAATTTTGTATGTGAGAATCTATCTATCCTCAACCTCAAAAATTTTCAATTCCTTTTCATCTGCTTTCCCTTGTCGCAAACTATCGCACTATCACATCCTTCTAATGTCGCTATTGTTGGTGGAACAAGGTGATATTGTTGCTACATAGTAGTAAAGCAGTTTTGTTCAAACTTCACAAATGCTTCTAAATTGATCCAACCAAAACAAAATCATAAAAATTTCCCGCAATTTTAATCAACCGTTAGAAGAGATTATATACTTTCGAAACAATATTTATTCATTAACGAAAGTTCGCTGAGAATTTTCCTCTTTCTTTATAGCTCGAAAATTTTTTCGTTTTTAAATAACGATCAATTATATTTGAACTACAAGTTGCAATAAAATTTCCAGAATAAGGTGTATATTTGTTCGGCAACAGATTGGAAAAATTATCAAATCTGAATTCAAACTTTTTTTTTATTTTCTTATTCCATGGATAACGATTCTAAAGCAATTTTGAATGGGATTAATCTACGATTGAATGATATTGATCTGAAATTATCATTTGTTCTGGAACTGCTCACAAATCGTCTACCGGAAAAATCATCAAAAGAACAGTTGACAACACTCCGGCTTCTGCAGCCGCAATCACATGAAACGATAAGTGACTGTAAAAGTATCAGCAATTTCGCAAGTTCAAAAGAACAGCGACAATCTGTAGAGCGGACATCAGCATTTGCTGTAGAAGATGCAGCCGGTGAAATAGCCCTCGGCAATACTGCTCCATCCTTTCAGCTGGGCAACAACGAGAAATCAGTTCAGCAGCAAAAGCAGGATGATATATTACCAGAAACATCGTCCACTTCGACCAGAGGAAGATCAACAACTGGCGTCACGGCAATCAACGATAGCGAAGGTGACGAAGAAGAAGTTGATGATTACGACGATGAATTGGATGAGGTAATTTTGACTCATTTTACATAAAATTTACATCAATTTTATGATATGATAAAAAAAATTTTTGTATTTGGCTGATAGAACTGACAATAAACTATTGATTTTAAAAAGAAGAAGAAATGAAAAGATTCAATTCATGAAGAAATTTTCTTTCATGATTTTCACATTGTGAATAAGGTAATATAACAACATAAGCTACGAATATAACAGCATAAGCAACATAAACTATAGAAAAGATACCAAATTCACTAGCGAATGTACTATAATTTGTTTGATGAATTTTTAATGGAAATGGTTAATTTCTGTAAATATTATAATTTTTGGTGAAGTTGAAAGTGATCTTAAAATTCTTTTTTTTAGATTTTATTTTTTCAGCATATTATATTACGTCTAATTTTTTCTTTTTAAAATTTTGTAGCAAAAAATGAGGGAGAGGAAAAGGAACAGTTGGAAATTTTATGTGGTAAAAGTGAAGGTGAGAATAGCAGTTTCAAGTATTTTTTTAATCATGCTATTATAAGGAGTGCAAAAATTTTGCGACGAAGGTCGAATCTTTGAAGGACCTTATTTTTGTGAAAAATTGATTTCCATTCATTTGTAATAAAATTTCATAATTCAAAATCCAGGATGTTGCAACAACGAACCACCAGGATCGTGAAGTGAAAATAATTCATGCAGAAAGCAATTTTCCCGAAGGAGCGGTACGACGAGCTGCCGAAAAGGCAGCACGAAGTTTTCAAAGTACTCAACCAAAGGTGAGAATTTCTCTCCTCGACCCATTTATTTACTAATGGTATAAATTAATAGTACTACTTATGCCATGCCATTCATCACAACATTCTGTTTTCACGCTGAAATAATAACAGAGGAACAATTATCTGCTACAGATATTACTAATAGAGTAATAATAATGTAATATTTTGAATATTGAAAACTAAACTGGATTTGATTACAACTATTTCTTCTGATGCAGGTTCCTTTTTTTCCCTCTTCATTTCTTCCATTTCCCTTATTTCTTTTTTCTCTTACATCTTCCATTCCTCATTTAACTTCCATTCTTTGCATTCTTTTTTGATCAGTTAAAAATCAAATCAATTTTTCATGTATTATGCTAAATGACTATACTGCTCTTTGTAACATTTACCTTAGAAGATGAAGGATTAAATAACAAAAAACTTTTGTTTTTTCACATAATTTGTTTAATTTTGACAAAACAAAAAATTTTTATTCACTTAACATGCATTTTGTATTCTTTATCCTTTCCAAATTTCATTTTTTTAATGACTTTTTTTATTATGTTTTTTTTTTTTACAAAGAAACGATTCAGAATACAAAAAGTATTAATTTGTTCAATAGATGAATAGGGAAAGGGATGCACAGATAAGAAATAAACTTATCTTAACAGAAGAAAATTACTCGGATAATACTAAAGGAATACTTCTGATCACAGAACGTTGAATCATTTGAAATGACATAATAAGAAACAATAGACTTATTGAAAATTATCTACAAAATTTAATTTTATAGCCCATCTCTTTTTTCCCTGAATAGACAGACGATGATATCAGCCACTAAACCTATTAATCAAACTAATAGTTATTCTGATGTCTAACTTTCAATAATATAGTTTTTATTTTAATGTTTAGCTGAAATATCTACTCTTCACTAACATGATTAAATCCTTTACAGTGATTGTGTGCTACGATCAGATATGTCCAGTCGGTCATCCATTATCAGTTATTGTTTTAAGAATTGATGTTTTAGAGAGATGAGCTAACGAAATCGAAAAATAAGAGAAAAGTAGAATGGAACAGAAAGTTATTATATGATGAGTCATGAAACTACCAAATATTGCCAGCATATTAACGAATTTAATCATTTGAATTATTTTCGTTAGTAAATGATGATTATTTAGAATTAATTATAGGTTTTTGCATGGCAAATATTACGAGAATCGGTTACCGATCAGGAACTTCGAAATGTGCATATATCCTTGAGGACATTTCATGGTGAAACAGCAGAGCATCTCTTGTCTCGACAATTACCAAAGGTTTAATAATTTTAATGTAAGCTGAACAGCTCTGGTAGTAGAAATAGAATTAGAAACAGGAATTAACTGACGAATAAAATTATCGACAGAAGGAAATAAGTAAATAATCACAATGAGTGTTTTTTTTTTTTTGTTCCTTCACATTATACATTATATTTTAGCATTTTCACTTTTAACTATTCTGACTGCTTCTCAGTTCCTATTAAAATTATTTCACATTTCTTTCCAATTTAAAAAAATATTCTGAAGAGAAAACTACAATTTTGTTTGTTGTTACGCTAAAATAATTTATTTTTTTATCACTTTGCCCTACTTTATTTCTTCTTGCAGTTGTAGTGCCAGCCTGCTATTTCTTATAACTTAATTTGATTATCTCATGTAAAACAATTAAGCATTTCATGCTTAGAGTAATTATATTCCAATACTGATTACAAACAGTAATTATATTCCAATACTGATTACAAAGATGGTATTATAGATACGTCTGGTAGTGGAAGCAACAATGTCCTATTTCAAATGGGATCAACTGAGTGATGAAAATCAATTAACCAAAGCTAAACTCTTATTAAGTCACCTAAAAAATAACGCTAAGGTTCGAAATTGGACTCTTAGAGAAGGACGTCCGAACCGGTTGGTTTAAGATCTCTAATAAATTTAATTTGTAAATTCTTCGAAAAAAAAAATAAAGCTCTTCAATGCTTTCCTTAAAATTAAGGTAAAAAGATTTTATCTCTAATAAGTATACCAATAACGATAAGGTTAATTTCCACGCTATTTCATACCAGTGTTTTAGAATACCTTCAAGGTGCAATCTTCTCCAATAAAACATCTTCCACAACTGAATAAGCACAATAAATGCATCTCGAAAATATTGCTTTATCGATTTATTATAACTTCCAACTCCAAACATTAATAAGTGTACTTTAAATTAAGGTTTCTTTGCAGGGTATCGAACACGATGGATGCGGTGTGGAAACGTTATGCAGCTTTACTTGGACAAACCGGTCTTGCTACGGTTGGCTTATTACCAAGCCATATAAGTCAGCTCAACCGATGAATTCCATGAACAGTTCGAAAATCTACCTCATAAACTCCTTTTATTCACTTCTTCATTTTCTCCCAAATATGTATGTATTCGTTTTTCCACGGCATTCATAACATTTGAATGAAATGAAATGTGCGATTTTAATAATGAATTTTAATCTGCGGCACAAAAATTAGGATTTATACTGAAGAATAATCCTTCATTCTCAGCCAAAGTAATGTTCAGATATACCTCCTTTTATATTCGAACATATCACTGACTTTTTTGATCTAAATTACCACAATTACAATTGGAATGAGAAGTTTGTTGATTATCGCTGAACTTCACACCTTCTCGAACTGCTAACCTGAACTGTACTATCGGTTTCTGTATTAAAAATGGTTTCATTTTAATAATTCAAAACACAGTTGAATTAACCTATTAGATAGAATGATCTTCCGGGACATAGGCCATTCCGCAGGCATATGTATTTCCAATAATGATCTACTACACGATGTACATGTTCTTACATGTAACATCGGCAAACATTCATGTCAATGCTTCCCACTAATTTTTAAAATTTGTTGCTTCCACAAGTGAACAGCCATAACTTATTAGATGCACAATACGACAAAGAAAAAAATAAGCATTGGGAATTACAATACAAATATAAAAGAGCAAAAGAAAATAAACGAGATAGTTCAAAACGAAAAAAAATTAGATGAAATAAAAGTGTTCATGGCCTGGTTTCAAATTTTCAACAGAAACCAACTGCCACCAAATACAAATAAAACAATATATGGACCAATAAAAGAACAAAGCACACATCTATCATAAAAATGTTTTACTCCATTTCATCCGATTAGTTTTCAATAAACTGTTATTAAGCACTGTATGTAAGAAGAACCGATGATAAATTAAAATTTACTAACTGAATGGTCCATTCGTTCGGGCAATATTTTATTTAAACGAATGTGATATTATAATTCCAGATTATTGGAAGTTTTCATGCAATTACGTTCCATGCGTTTCAATACTCGTTTTTTACAAAGATATTCCTAAAATTAATTTGAAATAAAGTTCCGGATGGCACAATAATAATCTCAACAGTTCCCTATCTCTTGAAGTGGAAAAAGCTAATCTAGTCAACATCCAACAGCTAAAAAAATAAACTTAAAACTGAATGACTTACACCCGCGCAACGCTCATCCTAAATTTTTTTAGCTACTGAGACTTTACTACTTAATACTTCTTGCAATACCTGAAATCCATGTCTGCTTACACACAACGACCAATGTGAAAAAACCTCAGTTTGATATGATATATATATACTACCTCAAGTGGCGGTCGATCCTGCATATTGTACCATTGCTCGAGATCGTTTTCATAACGCTCTAAGAGTGTTTCACAGTTCTGTTTTAATGTCACGACTTCAACGGATGGAGTATCCCACATTTCATACGGCATACCTAATTCCACCTGCAATCACCGACTATCAAAGTCAAAATGATGTACTTTAAAGACTTTGTGATGCTCTACGATTACGTAAAAAATCTTTTCGAGGATCTGAAGACTGAATTTCATTTTGACAACCAAAGTAGCTGGGCAGTGCAACATATGCTGAAATTTTTACATAAATTCCCAATGAGATTACTGCGATTTTATGAAGATGCAATATCTAACGGAGTGTGCTTAAATAATAAGTCTTCAAATAGAACATCCCAATTATTCGATAATCACTATTACATAACATAAGCTTTCGATGCATTGAAAACGGACAAACCTTGACTCCTTTATTTCTTAGCTCATTCAAAGCTTTCATTGTGCTACTTTCCTCTTTGGCAAATCGTGAAATGTCCGATTTCTCCTTATGGACTTTATATTGCAGCATTTGCTCGCAAGTTCCTTCCAAAGCTTCCACAAATTTAAGTTCTCTTTCTACGGTCGAAATCTAAAATAAATTCTTCACGTTCCAATCTTTTTAACGCCAATATCCTGATTAGTTCGAAGATTAACACTTTTTGCTTCCTTCAAGAGGCTTGTGACATTAGAAAAGGGAAAAGCACGGCAGTCGTTGACGCAGACGATTATCTTTTTTAAGTACTTTTTTTGGAAATTTCTGGATCTTTCTTTATTCATTTTTCACACAGATTTGCAATTTTTTAAAGTAATGTTCTAAACTTGCCTTAACATTTCTATTATTTGCAAACTGTTCCTCAAACTCTCGCGCAAATAATACACATGATTCACACTGTGAAGGAAGATCGACAGTTGGCTCAGCAATAATTACAAAAGACTTCGAATATACAATTGATACAACAAGAAGTAAAATGAAAAAATTAGGAAGACGCTGTTGGAGCTTTTTGCCGCTGCTGTGGCTGTTGTTGCTTCCATTCTTGCTCGTCATCATCGTGTTCTGTTGTGTACATCTATAAAGAAAAATTTAAACTTTATAACGCTCCTTTGGATATGTAAAGAATCAAAGAAGATAACAGGGAAAGTCAAGAAAAAGATGAAAATAGAGAAAATTATGACTCATTTCTACCTTTTCTTTCGGAATGAACATTTTAAACAATAAACACAACTAACGTGCAAGCGATGCCGTTTACGAGTATAATATTGCCATTGCAGTAATTGCTGTTCTTCGATAAACTTTGCATTTGCTGTACAAGTTATTGCCTCACGAAAAGCTGAACTCTGCACCGCTTCAAGGAAATGTAAACACTGTGGATATTTCAAAGCTCTGCAAAAAAATCAGAAAATGATTAAAAATAAGCTAAATCAAAGCAATGTAAAACACTTGAATACTACTCAATAAAACAACACTTAAAAATATTAAACTGTCAATAAAACTAACCTCGCGTATTCTGGTCTTTTCCAGTACAAAAGATATTTCAAATAATTGATAAAGTAGGATTCCTTAAAATAACCTCGCTGCGCTAGAACTGAAATTACTTTGGCTAAATCAATTGAGGTTGAAATTTAACTCAGTTAGTATTAACATTAAATACGAGCAAACAGAAAGCAAAGAGAAAACATAATTTCAAAAAAATGTCTACTAAAAGAACGTACAATTCAAGTAATGAGGATTAGCTAAAGCCTGTACAAATTCACATTCAATTTCGAATCGCTTCTTTTGTTCCTCAGGTGTTTCAGGACCAGAAGCCGAGTTCAGACCGGAACCTTCAATAATATCTTTTTAATATGGCAAAAAGATTATGGATGACAAACTCCCAAAATTTGGAAAAACAGTTCATAAGAAAATTTACCTCTCAAAAGATCCAGATTTCTCAATAGCTCGAAATCCTTGTGACAACTAGAATTACAGCTTTTAAATAAAAGACTGTTATTCCATTAAATTTTTATGTCATTACAGTTTGTTAGCATTTCAACTGTCCCATTTCCTATTTAATCCTTTTTTTCTAAAATATCTGAAATACTATATAAAGCAAAAAAAAATGCAGTTCAGCTTCTCACTTTTTATCATATCTCTTCCCACACACTTTTAATTTAGTGTGGAATTTCACTTCTGACAGGTCCCTCGAATAATTGCTTAGCTATACCATTTGAAGAAACATTTCTCACCATTTTGCATATTAAAAAAAATTTGGAAAGGAAACTTCAAAAGAAGGAAGAGCTGGAAGCTTTACAATAGAAAAAATGGAGAAAAATGAAAAGAATTTATCATTCAAAAATTAGAAAAATAAAGATGCATTTATCATGCAGTCAAGAGTACTTTTTAACAAAGAAAATAACTCAGAGATAAACAAATCACTATCAAATTTTCAGTTAATTTACATCACAAACAATTTTTGAAACATATTTTTATGTGAGATATTTAAGTACTGGTATTTCTCTGTAAGTATTTCTGAATAGAACTAATTTAACAAAAATTCGCAAAAGCTAAGTTCTTTATCAGAAGAAAAATGAGAATTCATTAATTCTATCAATTGAATTAAAGCTAAAATCTTTTATTGAGCAATTTTACATTTTTTCAACGCTTTATTTTTGCAAAATTTCAACTAAACTGCATTAACAATCACAACTTATTTCTATTGTTTCTTTCCTACAATAAGTAAATTTTCAGGCGAAACAATTCTTTCCACATATCTATACAAGGAAACATCATATCCAAACTTTCGGAGTTCTACGACTCGACCAAATTCCAAAATCGCTTTAGCTTTCTGTCCAAGAAGTTCTTTTTCTGCTGAATTCAAAAGGACTCTTTCCAACATTGTTTTTTGTTGATCGAAATTTCCTGACTCCAACGAATGAGATAGAACAGAGATATCACTACCAAAATTCTCCGAAGGCAATAAAAATTTCGTAATTTTATAAATGTTGCAAAACTAATTTAAAAAATTTTATGACAGAAACTCTAATACTCTAGTTTCTAGAATTTTATGACAGAAAATTTCTGTGGCAAGTACCTGAATGGGAAAACCGCAAACGGCCCATGTTGAAATGTGCCTTAAAGCTGCAAATTCATTAGCGTTACAAATACCATGAGATTCCAAGAAGGTGCGACCAACATACTGAAAAACAAGAATATTAAATAGAAAAATTAATGAATTCCGATCCCGATGATTTTGAGCTACTGAAAAATGTCTGATCAATAAAAAAAATTCGATTCATAACCTCTTTGTATATCGTTCGATGATGGCAACATGGTGCTAAAACAAAACCACATATATTCAAACCATTTTTTACTCCATTCATTAAGCATCGAATGCCAAAATCTGTGGCAGCACCACAGAAATGTTTGCATACCGCAGCTATATTATCCACATTCTAGAACGATTTCATATTTATATTTTATAATGTGCCTTTTAAAACCCAAATTTTGGGCAAAAACTTTAGCTTTCATTTGACAGCAACTCCCTACTTCCGTCACTAATTTCTTCCTTGAATTATTTTTTAGCAACTCATCAACTTACCCGGATCAAATTAGTTTTCGACAAATCAAGATGCTCCACCGAGCAACGTAGTCGTTCAAAAAATATTACATCCAATTCCTCAATTAGAAATAAATTTTTATCATAAAATGGGGAAAACTGAAAAAAAATCACGAAATCATGAGAATAATGCCCGTATGACTTTCGATGTCATTGAGAGCTAATGCATCATCCTCCTTTCATTTGAAAAAAGTAAATACATTTCTCCTTCCTATTTTCATATTAAAAGAGGAGGTTTTCCAACAATGCCCTAATTTACTAAAAATTCAAATATGAAAAAAAGATATTTGGAGCACTTTACCTTATGAATTTTATTATCAAATTTATTCTTTAAGCCCGTCTTCTCAATCAGTAGAAACCGACATTTTGGGACAATTTTGGCCATCCAGTATGAAAGCTCTGCTTTACCAGTTCCAAAATCTATCAAACACCAGTTCTTATCGTTATTCAGCAAATCGACTACTCTTAGATGTTCTGTAAAGAAGTGAATATGTTTAAAACTATTTACAAATGGGCAAGAACTGAGAAAGACGAAAACCTGTGAGAAATTTGCATGCATACTTTTATATGAATCTAAATTACTGAAACCACCTATTATCGATGATATCTGCCAGACATGTTTTTTATTTACTTTTGGAAGATCTGCAGCACAGCTTTCAACATAATCATTTTTCAGAAAGGAATCTGTAATATCATTAGCTATCTGGTTGTATATTCTTTCGACCATTTCCCGCATTCTCAACAATTCGTCATTTGTAGGACAATACCATGGCTCCATTTCTTTTGAAGATTCTTCAAATATATTTTGCAAATAAAATCAGACTGAAAAAATTTCTATTTTATAAATTTTATTGTAGAATATCCTAAATTATTATACCTGGATTGATTGTCAATATAAATTAACTCCGGAGAAAGTTATGCAATTAGGTAGCAAGAAAAAATAAAAAGAATGAACTTGTTAGATTAAAATTTTCAACAATCCACGGTTCTTCACGTAAACGACTGTTACACCGAGAAGATAGATGTTTGTGCAGTTGTGATTTGTTCACTGTATGTTTTGGATCATTTGGACAAACTACACGATCCTAAAAACTGCAAAGAAAAACACAAACAGTCGCCAAATTCAAACACTAATTCTTTTTAAATGTCTTTTGAAGTGAGTGAATAAATCAAGGGAATGGATGTCAAAATTACAGGAAATTCACAGTGATCTTATTTATAAAATATATTAGAAACCTCGTTTAGCTCATCGTAAATAGCATGTTCTCCACAATATTTATGGCCACATTTGACTAGCATTCGACATCTTCGGTTTTTCTTTTTCAAAATAAATGAACACCGTTCCATAACCTATAAAAATAAACAAAAGATGTTTTAAAAAATTAGATCCGATTTGAAATCTTTTTATATAGTTCAAATAAATAGAACTAGTAGCGACATTATAGAAAATTTCAATATTAAAGATTATATCCTTAAAAAGAAATCTGAAGGCCTACGTAAGATTAAATAATTTTACATCAAGTTATCAAACTGTTCTGAATTATATAAAAGCCACATGTAGTATACATGTTTTACCTATCTTTTCAACTGCTTCATGAAGATTGGCAAGAAGTTAAAAAAGATAAACCTTTTATATCATATTTCAGTACATTATAATATTACACGTAACATCCTCTGAAGTTTTAATCATGACCACAGCTATGGATATACTTCGCCACAGTAATAGCTTTCTCTATGCATAAAGTAACAAATATGATTATTTTATCTATCAAAATCTCTTTGCCTCAAGCAAATGAATAGCATAGAGAATCACTAACGAACGGCCATTCGGATGTCACATCAAACATAAACTACCTTAAGCATAAAACTGCCATTTAAAACAGGCTAAGAACACTTCCCGAGAATTCTCGTAACAGCCTGCTTGCCTGTATAATATCCGCCTGCAATTTGATGGCATTTATGCAACAACATTAGGCTCAATGTGAAAATGCTGTGAATCGATGGAAACAAATAGTGACTGAACGAATGCCAATTCAAAATTAATTTGCTTCGAGATGGAAAAAATCAGTTCAGAATTAGTTTTGCTAATGAAATAAGAGAGATGAACAGAATAACTTAATTGAATGAATGGACAAAACGTAATAGCCGAACGAAGTTCTGAAACACTTAAAATTTGCATATTTAGATGTCGAGAAAAGTGTGAGCAACATTGTGCTTGAAAATCGCTATTAAAATAAGAACTGATGCATTCAAAACGAATGAGTGTTCTTTGGTGTAGGCTTTTTGTACAATTTAGAAATTTTGAATGAATTTAACTTGAAGTTATATCTAAACACAAATTTAAACTAAAACTTTCAGTGTTCCAAAATAATCGAATACTTATCGGCGACAAGCATTATCAAAGAAGAGCAAAATGGATGAATTCAAAATGTTGGACTTGGCGACACTCCAATTTCTTAAAGCTGTCGGTAATATCGTTGGGAAAGAAAATCTCCGGAAGGCACTTCATCAATGGATTTCGGTTAGCTGATCATATTTATCTTACACGTTGTTTAATTTTTTAAACAGTTTACTCATCTGCTTTAGTTGGCACTGACCAAGTATTTTTCCTTATATTTTATTTAGCAAACTTGGAGTGATTTTAAATTCAGGTAATTCCAATTTTAAGAATTGTTATGAGCATCCTTATAAACTCTAATTTTCATAAAAAAATATTTTTGCAAGGTTCAATATATCAGCCAGAATTCTGCTATTTACTCTAAACTTTTTCCTTCTTGAAATTTCAATGTTATGTTTTAAGTGCTAATTCTTTTCCCTTAAACTACTAATATTTTTGATTGACAGAGTTTGACACACGTGTTTCAGAACTTCGTTCGGCTATTACATTTTGTCCATTCACTCAATTAAGTTGTTCTGTTCATCTCTCTTATTTCATTAGCAAAACTAATTCTGAACTGATAATAACAGTGAAAATTCTGATTTTGAATAATTTTAAAAATGGCTTTAAAAAATACTCGATCATTAAATTTACTATTCGTTGCATCTTCTTGTTCATCGAATTTTTCCACTCCCAGTTCTGTATTACTGCAAAAAAATTTTTACGGTAAAGCTCATATTATGTTATTGCTAACTGCTACCACGCAAAGTGTTCATAATGAACATTAAAGTATCTTTTATAACTTAGGAACAGAAATGAAATAAGTGAAGTGAAAATAAGTAAATTCTCAATTAATTAAATATTTTAATCACATTACAAGTATAACAATATCTTAATTGCAGTTGAATAGCGTTAAGAAGAGTTTGAATTTGGGGTCAATCGACAATGACACAGCAAAAAGAGGTGATTAAATTTTTGCTTTGATAATGAAATAAGTTCCTTTTCGAGCGATTTGCAGCTTTTTATGGCTTGATTTTTTATTGATTTAACTAAATAAATATTTATTGATTATTCGTTTCCCAAGATTTCAAATGGAACTTATCTAATTTCAGCAATAAAGACTTGAATGTGAAGAAAAAATTTAAATATAAAATGAAATTAATCGTTTTGCTTTGAAAAGTGATTCGTTTAAGAGAATGCATACGAAATTGCTCGTTGTAACATTACAAAAAATTATTCTGTTTTGCAATGTTCTGATTAAGAATTTAGCTTAGATCATGGCAATAAAAGTCACTTTTTACCTATTAGGATTATAACCATAAAAGATTGTTTGAAAATGCTCCATTAATTTAATTGTATTAAAATTTCTGTTGAATTAGATTAATTCTTGAAGTGAGCACCGAAAAACAAAAGAGTATTGGATGTTTGGCAAGAAGGTAAAAAAATTTGACAAATTACAGTGTAAAATTTTGATTTTCTGTGTGGAAAAGAGAAAGATGGACGGTGTGGCAAATTAACTTTTTGCCAGCCGTCGGCGCATCCTTTTGAACAATGATTCATTGCGATGTTGCTCTAAACATTTTAACCAAAGGTTCAAAGGCATGAAAAATTTTTTTCTGTTTTTAATGTGCCATTAAATTACTTCAGGGATTTTTTTCCGCTTAAAAAACAGTATTTCTTGTTTGATTTTCACAGAAATTTCATTAATTTCAAATTAAAAAATTGAAGTCAGGCTCAATTTAATAAACTCTAGCAAATAATGTAAACGAAATAATTTCAGAAAAAAAAGATAAAATTGCTAAGAAAATTTTTGGACCGGTAATTGTTAGCACAGATTATCATGCATCATAGGCTGCTACTTTTTGTCAAATTTTTTATAAATAAAAAAATAGCATTTCCAAACTTTTCAGTTAATTTAATGAATTTTCTAACTTATTTTAAATAAGTTTTTGCAATTCGATTTCAAAACAGCAACACAGAGCTATTTTAATGAATACGTGAAACTTAATGTCTAATTAGAAATTTAGCTGTTAAAATATTAATCATCATAATTCCTTGCAATATTTGTTGTTCATTTCTGATAAGATAAAATTTTTTTGTAAAGATAAGCAATTAAAAAAGAAATGAAGAAAGAAGGTGTGGAAGCCAAATGCAATATTTATAATTATGTTGGCACCAATTACTGATCGATCATTAACAGTGAAATTGTTAGTGATTATTAATATTGATCAGTGTAATAAAATGATAGTGATTATAACAATTCCTGTAAAGAAATGATAGTGAATATGTTGGAAATAATCTTTCGACTTAGAAAAAAGAAAAGCAAAATTGAAATCTCTATGATAAGGCAGTTTACGTCACGATTTGCAACAGAAACGGTAAACATCAAAGGATTATTGGGTTAAATGGAAATCTCCAATTCACGGCGAAAATCAAAGACTGATTTTGTACCATTGAAAGACTTCAGACAATCATCAATATTGAAAGACTTCAGATTATCATCAATATTGATTCCCGTAAATAAAGAAGGGTCAAAGGCTAGAGGATGAAAAGAATATACTGGCTTCAAGAAGTTCCGTAATAACAAGCATTCCTTCTCAGGGGTATTCATGGAGGTGCTCAATCCTCACCTCAATCCAATTCATAATGTCAGCCTTCGAATGGCTGGGCGTGGTTGGCATTGTTCCGATGAACACATTTTTCTTAATAAATTGCCTAAAAATTACCCATTGCAGTTAAATTCGTTCCAAGCTCAACCTTAAATTGTGTTTAGCGGAATTTGTCAGTCCTTCTGAATCCATTTTAATCTCGTTTCTGTGAGCAAAAAACACTGTTACTTCATTTTTCTGTTTCCAAAATTACTAAATGATTCTTTCACTCTTTACTTATCAGTTTCACTTTTAATAGCAATCTGCATTTTTGGAACAAATTGTCATATCGTGCAAATATATCACAACAAAGACACAAATTTCTTTTTTGTTTTCAAATTTTTTTTTGTTTCCGATATTTAGAAGAATGAAATGTCATCCATTGATCGCACTAATTTTGAGTCCATTTGTATATCCTTTATGCAATCATTTGCGTCGAATATCTTTCATTCAGCAAACAACTGTTCCACACAAACCTCTTTTCGGTAACACTTTCAACTATTTTCTTCTTTTTATCATCTAATAAACGTATAATTAATCAATAGGTTAAACTATGAAAACTATCACATAATAACTATGAAAACTATCATATAATATTTTGAACTTATTTCAACATTAAATCAAATTCAGAATAACTAACTATTCTTTGATGGAAATACATTCATTTCAATCTATTTTCACCACTCTATAAAGGTAAATATTTCGTGTAGATACTGTACTTATCTATCTACGGTAATTTTCGTTTTTGATTCATATTCCATCTTTTCTTTCATCTTCCCCAATATTGTGGAAAATATGCTAAAAATCAGACCTTTTATATTTTTAAATAATATATATGTCAAAATGAAGAATGATAATTGAGAACAATCATTTAGTTTATACGATTGAACATTTTACAATTTCTGATAGCTCATTTGAAAAAGAGGTGGACCAATTTGAATAGAGTTCAATTAAACGAAGTAAAGTGTTAGGAATTAAATGATTAAAAGTTAATCAAATTAATTCAATCAGAAAATTAATGTAAATTAAATCAAAAAAGAGATGAGGAACATATTTATTTCTTTAAAAAGTAACTCAATTTTGTAATTGCATGCAAGCGCTGCAAAACCATTGCATGCAGATGTGAATCTATCCGTGTGTGCGGAATCAATGAATGGAAGCTGTTGTACAAAGGAAATAGAAACAATTATGCTTAATATGATGAAAGAAGAATTGGCGACAGTTTATCAGAATAGAATTATCGCACTGAAGCAATCACTTAATTATCACTATGAACTCTTCGATAGTATGTTTTTCAACAATTTTTCAAACTTTCAAATGAATATCAATTTTCTTTCTTCCATTCCTCTCCTATTGATGAGTTGCTTACTATTCATTATTGTAAAATATAAATTTGCCAAAGCAAAAATTCCTTCTTATTTTGAAATGAAAATAAATGTGAACTTTTTGCGCCATTTTGAGAGACTATACAATACTTCAATTGAAATCAATAATTTTTGAATATTAATTATTTTTTAAATGAAATAGTAGCGATAGATTTTTAGTTTCAAACATTCTCTTCCTGAAATTTATAAAAGATTTAGCAATAGTCTCTATGTTTACTGAATATTCATAGATGTGTGTGCAAAGAAAGTTACAAAAAATGTTTGCACTCTAAAAATCTATCGCTACTATTTCATTTAAAAAATAATTATTGTTCAAAAATTTGTCAACTGAAAAGTGTAAAAATTTTTCGTTTTTCCACCAAAACTTTTACTTTCCTGAATTCTCCCAGAGAGAGATAATAATAGCCATTCTCAAAAAGAGGGAAAAAGAAAAACTCTTCCTTGTAAATCTTTTAGAGAAAAAGATAATAGTCGTTCACCCTTCTTCCGTCTGAAATTAATCAATATAGTAAATTTTCTCAATCTTTCGTGATAATTATCGACATTGAATACAGCGAATTTCATCTCTGTAACAATTTCTCTACAGCAATTATCATATATTGGGAGATTACGTGTAAAGGACAGATATACAGTATTGAGAGTACGTGTAAAGGACAGATATACAGTATTTGACTGTACGTATTCATCCTGCTATACAGCTGCATCCATAAAATCATTATGATAAATTGTTTTTAAGAGCAGTACAATGAGGGAATCGATGCATCGAGAAAGCAGTTGCACGTAATATTCACCCGAACATACGGACCACTTTATCAATCAAATGCGCAGGTGCTAATTTCATCAATATATTCAATTTTCATCATTATATTCAACTAATTTCATCAATATATTCAGCAATGGCTCATCAGAATTCATTCATTCCGAAATTTCAATTTTTTGAAAATCACTGAAAGAATCAAAAGTGTAACTTTTAAAATAAATATATCTGTATTCCTGCTATTCACCAATTTCAATTTTTCGTCACCAATGATTCACATGATATTATTAGTGAACAGTACAACGAAAAAATCTCTTAAGATGAATTTTTTCTACGTTAATGAGATGGCAGTATTTCAGATTTTAGATCTTTGACAAACTTTTCGAGGATTTGCGAGAATTCTACAAAGAACAAAGTTATATTTCTATAAAACCTATGTTAGATCGATTTTTCTTCGATCTTTTCCGAACTTTGCTGCTCATTCTCAATCCAACGGTTAAAGTTTATTTTCCAATTAAAGCAAGAAATTTATTTCTTAAAAATATTGAAATATATGCAAAAGTATAGGCTATTAATATAAAGAAAGTATTGGTAAAATTGCTAACAACAAGCTATCGATTTTAATTTCATCAACTGTCTTTTCAAATTATCACCGGAATATGATACTTTAAAGGAATTATTCGTTTAGATTTTTCAGAGTGAAATTAGGGAAGATAATTCTGATTGCTCGAAAAATTCTCTTGTATTACAAGCATTCGGTGATATACCATTGAAAATGATTCGGCAGCTTGAAAGAAGTCTGGGAGCTGCGAGGTCATTAACTCATGCTCTAAAGTCATCATGTGATATTCTTCAGGATATTATACAGGTTAAGATCCCAACAATCTTCCCAGGAATAGGCGGATTTAAAAATTATGATGAAAGTATTAATTATTACTAAGTTCCAAATTTAGCGTGCTAAAATTCTGCCTGCATCAAAAAATGCTATCAAAAATTACCAAAATTTACAGAGATTTCAAAAAATGATGCGATCAAGACAGAGAATCTTCACCGTTTGTTATGTATAAACATGAAATTTTTCAGAAGGAACTGCCAACTGATTGTCAAATCACAGCAACCCAAATGAAATACTGCGTGCATTGCTTGCCGACAGCTGAAAGGATAACAATTAGCAAATCGTTGAAACCATGCCAAATGTATTGTCTCGACACAATAAATAAATGCTTCGCCGATTATATCATCATCGAGAACACATGGCAGCAATTTATTGGCATGTCTTATAAGTTCACTCTATCAGAGGATATTGTCACTGCCTGTTCTTATCTCAAGGATTATTCCTCAAAGTTGATGAATACAGATTTTAAAATTTCAATTTAATATTTTACAGTAGAACATGTTTCCTTTTACTTTCATAAAGGATAAATAATTGAAATTCAATGAATATTTATTAATAAGTACGAAATTCTCACATACAATAAAACTTAATAATTTCTATTATCTTTTTCGTAAAAATATTTCATAAGTTAGTAATTTATTGTGTTGATTAAGAAATTTAGAACTAACTAACGGAATGTTATTTGTCAATAACAGAGGATATGAATGATTCGTTGAAATTTTGAATCTGAAATAATTGTTAAATTTTCATTCTTCTTTTGCTTCACATTTCGTTCTTCTTTTATCGCTCTTAAACCGTGAATGACTACAGTTAGAGTTTAATTATAGCTATAATTACAGTTTTCGCAACAATTGGAATATTTGATGTGCAACATAGATATCAATTTGAAAACTAATGATTTTAATTGTGATAACTAACTATAATTACCATACTTCAATTATCCATTGCAGAAGCTTTGACGAAATTGGCGACACGTCTACGTGGGCCATATAACACGATGGCTGTCCTAATTCCACTTGCGGTGCAAATCTCTGAAAGTATTATGATATTTCAGGAAAAGGCTTCAGTAATATCTTCCAGGGTTATTTCACGTTATTTCATTTAATCATTTTTTTATTAAATTCTTAAAATTAAAAGGTTACTGTTAAGAAGTGGATATGAATTTTCCTAAATGGATTACTGTAAAATGAAAGTATAGTGCTATAGCAATGGATAACATTACTTAAATTAATCAATTCACATTAGATTTTTTGTAAATATGACACTGTGAAAGCGTTGTTTTTAAAATGATTGAATTTTAGCAAGTAAAGGCACAATTTCTTGGCTCGCATATTTTCTCAACTGTTTAGCCAATCATTCTGTCGCAGAAAATGAATTATTTTCATATATCATTAAATTTTTAGAATACAAAATTCTAAATTTGAAGTTTTATTCGAAATAATTAAACCATAGGTGCTCAAAATAGATGGGTCAACCAAATACAAATTACAGATACAAATACAAGTTATAAGTAAGTAAAACTAATTTCAGATTTCACGCAAATGTTTGCGGAAAGATAGTGGACAGTCATTAAAACACGAGATTGCAACATTCAAAACATCATCGGAACCATTGCCCGATTTTCCTGCTGCCCTATCAAATGCTCAATCACAGTTGCTGACCTCGTTTATCGGAAAGGTCAGTCATAATAAACCGGATCAGTAAATTACCTTGAAATAAGTAGCAATTATTTTAAACTTTTCAGCTCTTCAATTTTTATTCCGTCCATTTGTACGCTCATTAATGTCAGTCTACCTTATATTCTTGCTGTCTAGCTAGAAGAATCTCGAGGATTCTGGAAAATTGGTCCACGACTTTCTTGTGTCAATTCCACCTGGTCAGTTGCAATAAGTGACAACACTTGTTGGGATGGAAAAAAAGTAGTAAACAATTTGGAGACTGTAACTGAAATGTCCGATGATGGTATTGGATCAAATTTTACAACGAGTAAAAATAAAAATTAGTTTTGCAATGAATTCTGAATATTTTGTTTAATTTTTTAATACAATAGAATTTTACTTTTCATTTCCTAATATGTTGGAAATTTTTTTGTTCGATTTTGTCGTAAGATTCATTTCATTCTGGCATTCAACTAAGACACAACCCAGCAGTATTCATTCCTTTTCCAAATAATTTTAGCATTGAAAATTCTAGCAAACTACAAGACCATCAACATAAAATCAGATTGGTTAGTTTTCATTGGAAATTCCAGGTGTGTTTTTAACTGAGAGATTGAAATTGCTAATGCTTTCGAATCGACTGCTGGATAGTTACGAAGGAAGACAGCTATTTAATGAAAGTATTGATGCTGATGTCGAAGCGAGCGGTAACGGCGATTCCTACCATTCTATTGATGATGAAGATGGGGTAGGCTTTTGCGCAAAATCATGGCTGATTACATTAATAGCTATTATTTAGATTTTATTCAAATAAAATTATGGATTTCAATCCTGGTTAATTTTACACGCTTACAGAAATATGGCACCCTAATATTTAGGATGAATTTCGAGATGAAGGAAGCGGATCTGAAGAAAATCTGACAGTGGTAGTCGACGTTGCAAGTTCTCATCGAGATACCACAGGACCATTAGCTACTGAAGAATCTGACTTGCAAAGTAGCAGCACAAGCGCATCTGAGCCAAGCGTAACGTTGAAAGTACCAGATGTCGAGATCGTAAAAATTTCTTCTCATAAGCCATTTCCTTATATATTATATTTCTTGACTATGTTTCATATTTTATAATACTGCAAATCTCGCTTAATATTCTGCAATTTACATTTTAATTGGTGGATTCATCGAGAATTCAATAATAGTAAGAGAGATGAAGGACTGGCAGATAAAGGCACAATTTTACCAGAATTATTCATATAGATAAAGCGAAGTTGAAATTTTACTACAAAAAAATTTTAAAATCGGCCTTTTGTAATGATAAAATTTTTAAGAAATTTAAATGTTCTTGTTATCGACAATGTATGCTGTGTATACCTATTATATTATCCATTTTATGATAAAATTTATTACTCTATAACATTACTATTAACTCTTTTACATCGAAATATGAAAAATTTCAATAATTTATCTGCGTTTTCTCAACTTCCAAATTCCAATAAAGGAAAATAAATTATAATATATCTTTTAAAATAGAAAATAACATTTCTTATTTCCTAAAGATATTCAGTTGATATCAGCAATGTAGCCATTTGACAAGCTATTTCTAATTAAAGATTCTAATCTCGAATACAAAACTCAAAAAACAAAAAACAAATTAAATTAGGCAAATTATCATATCGCATACTTTGAATAGTAATGCTGATTACTTTGTATATCTGATAAAGTTTGAAAAATAATTTTATTCGTATACTAAATTAAAATACCATGTTACTTTCTGATGAAAGTTCTTAAAACACATGTTTATACATATATATGCAAAATTAAATTAGACAAATTATCATGCATGCTATGCAGAACCATTGCCGCTCTTTGCATTTATCGAAAGAACTGAAATTAAAATAAATGATTTGTTTCAAACACTGCAATCAAAAATTCATCTTCACATAAAGATTTATCACAAAGTAACTCTAAATACTCATCAACCTTTTGTACGTACCGACTCTTCAAAATTATCAACACAACAAAGACATAAACAAATCTTTAATATAGAAGAGAACATTTCACCTTTCTGTCAATTACAAACTATAAAAGCTTGAGCCAGTATTAGCGATAATCTAAGTTTCTTACTGATGATAAAATTGTATGTTATATGATAACTAGCATTTCAAGTAAGACTTAAAATTAGCTCAAAATACCATTTGTTTAAATTCATGCACCATCAGTTGGAATAAATTCAAAATAACGGACAGCTAACCAATGACACCGACAACGAATAGCATACAAGCACCAACGACAGCCATCATTAAACGTACACTACGCCACCATATGTTACGTCTAACCTGAATTGCCTTACGCGAAAATTGTTCTGCTCGGGCCTCCATCTCGTCTAGAATATAAAATACAAGAGAAGAGAAAATAATTACATCATGCGATTGAAGGAAGTATCACTTTAACTGGAAATTATCATTAAAAAGCAATCTCCGATATTATCGGGGACTTTTAAAATCCAATCGTTTGAATTTTATAAAATTACAAAAAAAAATTTTTTAAAAAAAAACACTGCTCTATAGTGATACAAAATCATGCAATGAAAATTTTGGTTTTTGTCGGAAAGTTAAGTAAGATTAGCGTATGCAGTAATAATCTATGAAGCATTTTTGATGTCTTAAAAATGGTTACGATTTAGATTCCGGATTCAATACTCTCAAGAATGTATGAAAGTCCAGAAAAAAATCACCGGCACGTGCGGTTAAATTTTGCAATCGACCTTCACGCTCGATAATACGATCAATATCACTTCGAACAATTTCTATCACTTCTTCCAGTTTTTTCTGAGTCTTATGAAGTTTGCTTGAATCCGGTGTTGTTGTCACACGACCAATATGTGTTACTGGAAGACTAAATGGTTCCATTTTAACCTTAAATCATAATAAAGTAAGCGTGGAAACGAGTAAAATTATGTTTAAAAAAAGAACAGTAAATGATTGCAAATATTTGTTCTTGTGATAAAATGTAAATGATAGCCACGGACGGATATATTCTAAAAGATAATAATATTAAATTACTTGTTGATTAGGTGCTTCAATAGGATATTTCCAATTCATCAAAATTTCCGGAAATAACAATTGCTGAATTGCTATCAATATGATAGGTCAAACTTTTTGAAAAATTAAATATATAAAAATCAAAAAAAGATAATGATTTAGGTAAGTAAAAATCGTTGATTAGATAAATCGAAAAAATATATTAGGGACAAAGGGATAACATATCCGGAATAAACACAACCTGTATTGATCTATCCTCAAATTACAATGACAATAAATCGAACTTTCCATTTTAACTTTTTATTTTTGTGGTGAAAATGACAAACAGTTTAAATTTCATATGCCAAAAACAATTTTCTGGAAAAGACGTCATTCTATTTACTCCGCGTCACGTCACTTTAACTTAAATCATCCCTTCTGTCAACAACGACGGTGAGATACTGTTGTTTCGTTGTGAGTTACCGCTCAGTCAGTGTTCGAACTCGGGTTGGTTGCATTGTTGAAGAACATCGTAAGTTTACTGCGTGATTAAAGGACGTCGTGCGGTTATTGCGCGGTTGAGGGAGTTGTACGGTTATAGCGTGGGAATAGGTGTGTCGATGGTCAGACCAAATAGCGACAGTTTTCATTTATTCCTTGGATGCACCTTAGAGAAACAAAAAAAAAATTTAATTGGTAATCCAGAAAACCTTAAGACAAAACATACGGATTCAGGAAAATTTGATTCTAGAAAAATTCCCTTTCCCTTATCTCTTTTCTATTTCTTGAATTCCAATGTCGTAGCTCCAACTATTCTTCTTTAAGAGCTCCTACTAATAAGCTTATTCGTTTGTATATTTTAGCTTGTCCGTCTAATGGTTTTGCCAAATTCATCACATTCTAAATTTTAATGTGGTTTATTTTAAGAGTTATTCATGGAGTGTAATTGATATGTAAGAAGAAAGATGACAGATGCATTTGTGGATATTCCAGTAAGTGCTGAATTTTTTTCTGCTTTAAAATTGCTTTAGCAAATTACAATATCCATCTTGCATGTTTTTCTTTTCCATAATCTGAAGTACTTTTTTTTTCTTTCCAGGATTTTCAGTTCCGGGCACTTCAGCGTGTAAGAGTATTCAATAAAACCGATGCGGCATTGTACGACGGTGTATGTCCATCATGGATTGCTGTCTCATCGCGATATGGGATTATTGTTTGTGCTTTTGGTTGTGATAAGTTAATATCTTTAAGAAGCAGCGATGTTTATCGACCAAAAAGTAAAGGAGACATCAATGTAGAAGTGACTGATATCCAGACGAAAGTAACTAATCTTCAAGTTGAACAGGTTGATTTATATTCTCACTTATTTGTGTAGCTTTTCAACTTTTGTCGATGTTTCAGATATATTTCGAACTCTGGATAGCTTCTTTTCTTCTTTTATTTTATATTTTGCCGTGTGGTAGAATTTCACGGCAACCAGTCATTACTGTGATTTAAATTTGTTGAGACAGAAGCTTTCCAGTTGTTTGAATTTGTTCTCATCACCTATTCAAAAGTTACTAATGCTAACTTCAAGTTATTTTCCGATTAAATTCTTAATTCGCTTATCACAACTAAAGTCAGCACGTGTTTTAATCTTGATTTAAAAAATTTATACACTGCATTCCAGTATCCTTTCAGCCTGTTGCATTGACTGCACTAGCTTGTAACTGCTCAGGTCGTCTGTTATCTGTTTCAATGCGAACAGCATTTGGAGCATTTGTATATCTCTACGATATGTGTGCATTTGCTGTCGACTATGTTGAGCAGGTTAGTTTATTTAATCTAATGTTTGTAAAATTAGTTCTACTCTGATTTCCCTATTTTTGCATTTTTATACCTACGTTCAAGATAACCATGCTATTTTGTGGCACAATCCTTCTTACATCCTAATTTGTGTATTCAGAAAGACTGTTACTTTGTTCGTTCACTGCTGTAATTACACTTTGTATGTTTAGAAATATACATGTTTCGATTTTCGACCTTTGATTTTTGAATACTTCTGGTTGATTAAAATTTTATACTTAGATAATGCTGCATAAAGATTTCTTGCAGCGAGGTCCCGTTTACAGCTTGCGACTTTCTGTTGATCCGAATGCCCAGCCTTGTGTCTTAAAATGGAACCCACAACAGGATACCGTATTTGCTGTTGCTACGTCCGATGGCGTGTTATCCTGCTATTCTTTTGATATTGAGGTAATATAGTTCTAGCAAAGTTTTTTCGAAATCCGTGACTCAGAAATCATGATGCTAATCAAATCCAATATAATATTTTTTATAATATGATAAATATATTATACCTTTTCAAAAGATTTCATAAAATACTGTTTAGTCACACTGTCGTGATATGAAAGCGATGGTGATTAGATAGGGGCGGAAAGCCAACTGGCAATGTATTTTTCTTATAAGATCGATACTTGGCTGTGATATTAGGAAAGTGTCAACTCAGTGTTTGGACATTCTGGATAATATAATAGAAAATGAAGTTTTTGCAGAAATCATCTTCGGTGACCTTGATTGGTACAGTTAAACATGATAGTGTTGTAACCTGTATAGGATGGAGTCCAAAGGGAAAGCAATTGGTCGTAGGCGATATTGCGGGTTATATAAAACAGTATAAACCTGAAATGGCATTGGTGCGCGTGATACCACCTCCTTTGAAAGGTGAATTATTTTAACTCAATGCAATATAACTCAAGTTGATGAACCATTTGTTAATGCAAAAGTTTTTTATTGATATGGATAACCATCTTTTGTCGTTGCAGATAAAAGCCATATCCTGCGTTGCGTCGGAATCAGTTGGCTTGCAACTACTGACTTTCTCGTTGCCTATTCCTCCAGGACAGGACAAGAAGTAGATATAACCAAGTTATGTGTGAAAAAGGATATACCTCCCCAGTGGACACATTTCGATGATATTAACTTCTGTGGCGACAAGAGCACTTTCGATCAACGAATTGAATTTACAGAACTGTTGAATTGGAAATTAGTATTGTGCGCTTCATCACGATCCAGTGAGGTAAGCGATTTTTTCAAGTAGGAAAAAATTCATATTAGCGATTACAGTCACGCATTTTCAGCGCTATCATTCAGCATGACGTTAGTAATTGAGAAATAGATATTTTATTATAAATACTCTTTTCCGAATTGCTCTTTATTTCAGATATCAGTGCTAGGTAAAATCGATTCTGAGTGGAAAGTTTGGACTTTAGATGATAATGGACGAATTGAAGTGCCTCTTGACTCTGAACATCGTGAAACTTTTCCAGTTGGTGTTTCTATCGACATATCATCAGTCTTTCCTGTTAAAATTGGTATGCTATTTGTATTTAATATGCTTCCAGAAGCCAGTGGTCATAGTTTTGTTATTAGTCCAAAAATAAGTATCCATATAAGATAGTGAAACATACCTTAGATAAATAAGACAATATGCAGTTCCAAAAAGCAAGAAGTTTTCTTCATTACGAACATTTTTCATAGCATAAGAGTTTTAAATACAGTTAAATCATGTAATTGCATCTCAGGTGACGAGGGCAATTCGGAGCATCCTCCTTGTCCTACAGTCCTGGTGTTATCGTCTCATGGAGTTCTTCTTGCCTTCAGTGCGTTGTCGTCTCGTGCCGAACACCAAAACATTAATATGTATGTATCAAGTTTTCTACTTTTTTTAGAAAAATTTAAAAAAAAATTTTGCAAAATGTTAAAGATTAATTGCTAGTAATCTAATTTTTCAGATGTAGTTTCCTTCAAGATATGAATATCCAAATGTAGATTTTCTTACTTTTTTAACATCTCTTTATCAAAATTTATCCGATTAATTGTATGCAGAAGTTTTAAAATCAAACCCCAAAGTTCCAAACATAATTATTTTTTAGACGTCCGGAAGATTTACCATCAAAAATTTACGGGGCGATAACAACAAAGGCTGATGTAACGCAGAATGAGCATTCATATATTAGTTCGCCAGATACGATATGTCAAACTGTTTCAATGCTTGATAATTCCATTCCAAAGCAGAATGTTTCTCAGTTGCAAGTGGAAGCAAAGGTTTACTTTTGCAAGAAACCAAAGATCTGAAAATCAGATAATGGTTTGAAGTTATTTTCTAACGTTTCTGTATTTCAATATAAGTTTTAAATTGCAGTGTCATTGAATATTTCTGGCTTAGTTGTCTAAATGGAGTATTAATTTTGCTAATTTTGGTTATGAGAAATAATTTTAGATAAAGACGTCTCAGACTGTACAGGCAACAACAGTGTCACAATTACACGAAGTTTTGCCTTGTAGTAAAGTACAAGATTCAACAGTTCCACAGCAAATGCGGGAAAATCATGCACAACACCAACGGTTGAAAACGGGAACGCATTTGATTACAGAATTACGGGAAGATTTTCGAAAAAAACTTATCAATTTTGATAAACAGTTCTTCGAACTTTGTGAACAAAATGATTGGCTTCAAAATCTGAAAAAAAGTTCTGCAAAACATTTAAAGTGGAATAATGGTTAGTATAAGGAGTCAACAGTTCATTTGGGATTCAAAACTAAAAAAACTTTGTATTTTTATAGCTGATAGATTTGTGTTGTAGATATAAATTTGGATGATGAAATGTCGGAGTTGGAGAAAGTTCGAACAACTGTAGCATCATGGCTTGATGCTTTGGAGAATCAGGTGAAAGAGAGTATGTGTGCAGTTGAAGAACAGTTGGGAATTGCAAATAGTACCGATCGAGAACTGTTTGACAGCAGACGGATGTTAGATTTCAACAATGTAATGAATTAAAACTTATTTTGAGCCTTGTATTTCAGTATTTTTAGTTTTTGTGATAGAAATTTGAAGCAATATTGCGACTACTTTTCACAGTTTTAGATGCATCGCTTGGATAAGCTAACAGCAGCCTTAACGAAACTGGAACAGAAAATCGCAAATGTGGAAGATGTATTGACAGAAATACCAACATGTAATACAAAAAACAGGTTAGAAAGGAGGAAAATGCATGTTCTTTTTTAAACCAACGGAATCTCCTGACCAAGTTGAGTAAGACTTTGTGTTTCAATGAGGCCACCTTGGGTACCTGATAATTTGATTGAATTTAAGAATTCATATAATCTTTTAAGCAAGTAGAAGTTATTGACAGAGCTGTAGCAGAAAATATTCAACTTTTGCTAAATTTTTTTTGGCAGTTTCAGATCAGTTTTAACTTTGGACATTAATCAAGAACAACAGATTACCATGACTGCAAAGAATATCTGCAAAGGAATGGCTTTACGACGGAAAGCTTTATGTGAATTGCAACAACGGGTTACAAATTTAAGTAGTCGATTAAAGTTAGTTATTCTTTATTCTTAACTTTTTTTAGACAGTCTTTTCACAACATATTGTTTAATGCTGCTGGTTGATATAGGACTTGAGTGTTCCTAAAAACTCAAAAAGTTAAATTGATCCTATCACTTTATATTATCATTTTCTTTTTCATGTCTTTGGTATTACTTGCTTCAAAATCTTGATCATAACTCACAGCTGATCTGATGCGTCATGTAATTTCAATTATCATCCAATTATCTTAAATACTTTTAGACCCTTCCTTTGTTTCACTCCGTACTTATTTCTTACACGTTCACATCGTAATTATTCTTTCAGATCATTGAAAAAAGACCAAAGAACGGATAAAATTTTTACTTCAACAAGGTCATCGCTTTCAAATTCATCATTTAATTATCAGAGTTGCAACGAAGAATTAACAAGTATGGGAGCTGCTACTGTTCAACAACAAAGAGAACTGTTGAAGTATGTGGGACTTTGGATATTTATTTTGAAATGAGAGAGGTGATAATTGTTAAAGAAAAAAGCATACCTTTATTTGAAATACTTAGAAACTGTTAAGGTGTATTCATCGTTTAACAAATATTGGTATTTAATTCTTAAAAGATATCCGATAAATTCATACTTTTAAGCAGTGACAAGGAACTGTCTTTCCTATATTCATTTGATTTCAGATTTTTGATCCAACGTAATCCTGTGAAACCGTCAAAAGCAAAAATTGTTGTGCTTGATATACATTCACATGAATCTCGTGAAAGAATACCGAATTCAACTACAACAGATATTGAAAATCGTTTGCTTGAAGCAGCATTAATGCCAATAAAAACTCCTACAAAATTGTTAGTTTTTAAAAAATTTTCATTTAGAACTACAAGAAAAAGAAAGTGATGAGAAACACTGTGTCTTATTTGTCAAGTAAAGATTTAAAATCGAACGACAGGATGTGTGATTAATATTTTTCTTATAGTGAACATTCCTTTCAACCACTGTTCCAACTGCAACTCTAGTTTACAAAGGAATTACTACTAATCGTCTAAGCTCATAATTTAACCGTCATCTATATTTTTTTTTTGCTTCAGCGTTATGGATATTGGAACGCAGTCGTCCGATTATTTATTTTCCAAAGGTATGTTTTACTAAGTGGATTTCATCACCTCTACTAGCTTCAAGTTTCTTATTTTTATGTGCATTTGATAGCATCTATTCAAAATCACTTTTATATATGCGTAGAAAATTTAAAGCAATGAGAAGAAAAGTAGAATTTATTCCAATTTAATTGGGAGATAAGAAATATAATTTTAAAATCTAAGAGATAAAAATCCTCAACATCTTATTATCGAAGAAGCAGTTCGTAGAATTATATTTTTTGTCCGCGAAGAATAGTTTTATCATTTTAGAAACGAAATCGCCCACAGAGATGGCAACTTCAAATCCCGTCGTTCCTGTAAGTTTTATGTCTGCGGGGTCTGGTAAACCTCCAACAATCCAAGCACGTTATATTCTGGTGAATGAATTTTTTTGGAATCAATGATTGTATTTTATTTAGAAATTATTTTTTTAGCAAAAAATGTTGATTCTGCAGAGTCGCACCCGAAGTAAATTGTTAGAAATAGGATTTTCCATTTCTGTCACATATTTCATATATTTTGGAGTAGGAAATTTGTAAAATATTGGAAATATTTGTACTGCGTCTTCAGTTCAATCAGACACAAAAGCTAGCTGAATCGGCTGTCAGTTCATCGACAACTTTACCTCCTTCCTCCATGAATTTGAGCAGCTCTACTACAATTCTACCAACCACTTCCAGCTCTTCTGCAACAGACACAATTGTTAAACAGCTTCCTGCTGGGGAATCATCCACGAATGTTCCAAAAACAGTAGCGATAAATCAAGAGCAGAATGGTGATATTACATTTTCATTTAAAAATTTGGATACTCCATCAGCAGCAAAGAATGATATTTCTTCTCGAGAAACCACATCCTGCAGTAACATTACGCCGAGCAGACGTGATTATGTCAGTTGTAATTTGCTTTCCACCTTATATCAACTTGAAACAATTTTTCTCTGTCAGATACATATAAGCAAGAATATATATGGTCGCAGTGCGCCAGTATAGTAGTTGCGATGACTTTTAATTGATGCAGTTTAGATTAAATTTACTGAATTTGGATGAGTAAGTGATGGAGGTTGCTTGCAGAACCTTTGCCATCAAACAGTTCTATGAGTAATCTTGCCGCTGTCCGACCAGTTCGACAAGTGGTGTGTGAATTATAAGCTTAAATCTTCTTAAACTTAAAAGCATTAAATTTTTAGACTTCTACTGCAACACGCAAAATTTTTTCAATGAAAAACAATGAAACTGACTCGGGATCAGTTGGATCTGCTACAACATCTGAACCATTGACAAATGTTTCTGTGGCTGCAGCTCCCAGTTCAACAGAAACTGATAGAACTTTAGCGCAAAACTCGGAAATCTCAAGGACGAGCAATGAATTGACAACAACAGATTCAACTGCCTCAATGGCAATTTCCAAAACATCAGGTTCCGAAACGAATGTATCGTTCACCTTCGAGTTACCAGCTGTAGGAAATCAACAGACAACATCTGCTGCAGATGGTTGGTTATTGTTTTCTAAAGTTAAGGAACCTCAACCAACGTTGTAGTATCGACAGTGTTATGTTTTTGTAATGCTTCTAGAATCGAAATAAAGTGAAAACCTTGCAAAAAAATTGTAATGCGGTATATCTCCCGTGATGCCAAGTAGTGACAAACAGTGTTATATTGCACCATTTTTGTTCTACCATTACCTTACGTTGCATCCAGTCGGGTTTGACCTTAATATTAAAATACATTGTTTCTTTTCGCTCGAAATTTCCAAAAAAGAAAAACGCAATTCTGTACTTTGTTCTTACTGAGCGCGGTCATTGTTCATTCTTCAGGCTCAGTAAGTGGTGATACCACAAACGCAACAACTGTGGAGCTGCAATCAAAAGATTTGGATGTTATAGGGTATATTTTTAACTTAATAATATTTGAAATTCAAACATAAAGAATGAAATACTGGTTGCAACAAAGGATATAAATAGGTCAAGCAGAACATTCATTACACGTTTTTGTTTAGATGAAGTTTGCTGAATAGATTGGCATGAAACTTCTGTAGTAGAGTAAGATAAAAAAGAATTTCAGTGACGACGGAATAATGGAAGCAGAAGGTACTTCAACTGCTCCGACAACTCTGTTCTCATCATCATTATCTTTGTTAGTTTTTTTACTCACCCAATTTCTATAATGATGTTTTAGACTCTGTTTGCTCTTAACCTGTCATTTTTATTAAATAACTTTTCCTATCAATTATTCGCAGAAACTGTTAGGAATTCAGAATTGAAAAGACTTTTCTTTAGTTTTCTTTAGTGGTTTGGGAAGTACTGTATCCAATACAAATGCGATACAAAACGTTTTTGGTTCTGGACTCAAATTTTCGTCATCTTCACAACCTCAGACATCCTCATTATTTGGTAGTGCTGCTGCTGGAAACAAAAGCACCTCAGTATTTGATTCTGGTGGTTCAGCAACATCTAGGGGTGGATTCTTCAGCCGAACGCAGCAGTCGAATGCAACATCGTCAACGTTTTCTTTTAGTTCGGCAACTAATTCGCTTAATTCCTCCGGTCTTTTTAGCTCAAAACCAACGAGTAAGTACAATTTAATAATCTAGAGTAATTTCTAAGTTGAAACTACTATTCAATATTTAAAAAGAAAATATTTAAGTCTGGTGAATGTCTTGCATAATTTAATCAGTGTGATATAATTCAATCAATATGCCATTTCAGTTTTCCATAATTTCCACTTTTCTGAAATTTAGGAGTTGATACATGTTCAAGAAAATACTGTTTTCCAAAATTTTTCAAAATTCTTAGTAATTATACATTTTCAAAACTCAGTTTTGCAAAATTTTTAGCTGGTGGTACTACATTTGGCGGTGCACCATCATTTGGTTCGAAACCAGCATTCGGATCTCCATCACCTCTTGTTTCAGCATTTGGTCAGCAGCGTTCTCAAAATGCTGCTTCTACAGCTACTGGATTTTCTAAGTGAATTTTTGCTGTTCTATTTCATCATCTTCTTTGTTAACGGCTCTATCAAATCTGACATATTGTATTTTCATGAGTAACTTGTAGGACTATTAGAAAAAGTATGAACTTTGTCGTAATATGAAACTGTAAGAGGTTGATAATAAGCACAAAGGGATATATCTTTAAAAACTTTAAGCAAGTCAATTAAACATTGTTTTAACGTAGATCACCCTCCCTTCGTCAGCTTCATAGTTTCAGGTATTAAATGCAGTAGTTTTATATTAGCTCGGGCTAGTTTGTTTTGTGAGGTTCGTGCATCGTGCAAACATGATACAACGTAGACGCTTCATTTCATGGAAATAAAGAAATTATACAGACAAATACTAATAGCAGCAAGATTTTTGAAAAAAAAAGTAAATGGACGATTCGTGTGAAAAAGTTAATTTTTAGCTTTGCCAAAACCAGTACTGTTGGATTTGGTTCACTGGCTGCAAGCCAACAGCAGCAATCATCTGTATTTGGTGGAAGTGGATTTGGTGCTCTAGCACAGCAACCCCAAAAAAACTCAATTTTTGGTGGAGGCCTAAATTCATCTGTAACTAACAGGTTCTTTATTTGCATTATGATGCCTCTCTTTTCTATTATATATTAGTTTGGACATTATCCGAAATATCTGCAAAACATTTCAGCAAATTATAATATTCAGTATGTAATATATTCTAAACTTAACAGTCTCTTTTGTTTAAGTCAAGAGGTCTTTCTTCTGATATATGAAATTTTTAAATAAATATTAATATTCTTTGCGTCATTTTAGTTCGTCATTTTCTACGTGGCGTTAGAATATTGCTGAAGGAGCTTATACAAAAAGCAGTTGAAAAGCTGACAAAATTGCAATAATTGTAGTCCAAACACGAAATTTTATGTTTTTGTGAATGTTTTCGTTATAATGATTGTACTTTATATTGTTTTCATTATACGAAGCAATAAATTTTTAGATTTTTCATTTTTTGTTTGAATTTTAGAAAATCGATTCGTCGAAATTTTCAAAATATTCCGCTTTGATTTCTTTATTATTCCTTCAAGTTCATACTTTCCCTATTTAAAAGAAGCCTTGAGTTCATAGAGTTCATGGAACTGAGGGCGGGAACTCGTGAACTTTAGTCCTTTATTCTTGACGTTGTATGTAATTTAATTCAAATTCCTTAGCTGGTTTAAGAAATTTTTTCATGATGACTTTTATATATCTGCCATTTTGATTTTTATAATAATTTTTTGCGATTAGCCTCCTTTTATACATTGTTCGATTTTTCGTTGATCTCATTACTTGTCACTTTGGATGCAAAAATTATTTATAGCGTATGGTACATAGTTTTTGAATTTAGTGGAAATATATTAGTATCTTATTGAAAGCGTAAAACATTCTTAAATTCTTTACTGGCCTCATTATTCATTGCTCTTTTATTTCTTCAGCAAGTTTGGGAACGCTGATAGGATAAAAATAAGGAGGCAAGGGAAAACAAAAATCAGGAATATTCATAAAGAAATGAAAGGTGAACTATGAAATCTACAAATTTATTAAAAGCAAATTCGCCAATGACTTCTTTTCTTTCTCTCATGTTTCCTACATGCAAATAGATAATTCATACAGGACATACTGATGTTGTCAATAAGTAAGTGAATGCGTTTTAAATGTGTAGTTAAACAAATGAATGATCCAGCATCAATTTTCTCCGCTAACTGATTCATTATTTCGATTGCAGTTTTGCTTCTGTTATTGCTGTCTTAGCACGAGCGCTCGCTTAAATTATGCAACAGGATCAAAAGTTAAGTGGTATGATGTGTCCTATTGAATTAGTTGCGTAATTTCAATCTATGAATAAAACATAACCAATATTTGATTTCTGCCTATAATATCTATCTCCTTCAAAACCAGTTTGAGGAGCAGAAATACTTCAATGACCTGTTCTCGAGAAATATTTCGATGAATGAAAGAAGCCTAACAAAAAGTGAAATTTAAAAGTAATGAAAATACTGTGTGCGAACTCAAAAGCGAAATATTTCTTCCGATGCTCTGATAATATATTCTATGGAAATCGCTAATCGCATGTCTTGATAAATTACAGCTTAATCTATGGCAGCATTAAAATGCTGTGTAATGAAGTCCAAGAAATTGATAAATTTAAAAAAAAAGTGAAAGAAACGAGGCCCATAATCAATCATCGTTAAAGAGCACTTGAAAAGTTGATTTAGATTTAGATTGAGAAGAGATTTTATAGAATGAAGATATGATGTGAAAAATTCAGTGAATGTTAAGCAGATAAATCCTATTATCCCTCTTAGATCACATTTTCGTTCAATCTTGCTTTTAACTTTATATTCTTGTAAATTAATTAAGGTCATAAATTTTACATGGAAAAGTTTTAATGAATAGAATAGAAGGAATAGTTTAAATACAAACAAATATTATATAAGTAGTAGTACATTTGTCATATTAACTGCTTCATATTTATGATCTCTAACATCTAACAATCACCTGACATTTTTCTCTCTGTTACTACATCTCTTCTCCTTAGTTAAATTTATGAGTCATCATTTTTTAATGTTATAAATCAAACAAATCTTATTTGAACGAATGGATAGTACAGCTTGCTATTCTGTTAAAATTTTGAAAATCTATTCCTCTCTTTAAGCATATGATACTGTAATGAAGGTAATCAGAATTATACTTGTTCACTTTCATTAGACAAATGAATGTTATTCTATTCTGTATTAAAGATATATTTAATATGATTGCTCTACTACAGATATAAATCTATGTTTTTTTGGTACAATAATTGTTCTCGAGATAAGTTTCAGGAATTTGAGAATAAAGAATGGTGTAAATGCTTACATTTTGCATTGTGGGTAATACATTAAAGCAATAAATAATGAATTATTCAAACGTCTTTTTCTCTTATTCATTCTTGGGGTAAAATTTGAGTTTTAGGAGAACCATATTTTTGTTTTACATAAATAGATTACCCCATCACCCATAAATTCCAACAGTTTTTCTTCGAAAATCGATATTGATTAGAATAAATGATTTTTAAAGTTAATTTGTTTGGTTAGATCGTTTTCTGCAACGACTTTCCTTATCCCATGAAATGGACACCTGGTCAGGTTTCTCTCTTTCTTTCTTTCTCTCTCAATCCCTCCATCTCTCTCTCTCTCTATCTTAATCCCTCCATATTTCCCTTGAAATCCGTTAAAGAAATTATCGTTCACTTTTGATATGAATAACACAAACTGAAAATTTTAGTGCGAATTTCCTTTCTTTGAAAGTAAAAAATTAATTTATTGGTCGATGAACTGTCTGTCATTAATCTTCCATTATTACATTTTAATTCAAACTTTAATTCAAAATTTATCTGAAACATTAAACATGCTGCTTTTAATATTGGATGCATAGTGGTTATTAAAGTTAGACTAGTCAATTGTTAAGCAAATTGATCTCGATTTGATCTCGTATATCCGATTTGAAACAATTCAGCAACAATTCGGTAAGATCATAATGATATTATGTTACGACATTTTTGCTCCATTAACTTCATTTACAATTAATTCATTATCCTTTCGTTATCATTCTACATCCGAGAAGATTGATATGGCTGATATTCTCATTTTATTAATCAAACATTTTTCCGATGTTACACTGAAGTCTTTATTTGAGGCCCAATTAACTTTTAACAGTTATGTAATGTCTCTGTGAAGTTATTGGGAAATATGATACTAGTTGGAAGAATATTAACAGCATAACTCTTACTATTCCATGCATTTTTTACCTTCTCAGATGACGCTTTCGGAAATTTCAAAATTTTTTGACATTTTTTAAAAGATTTTTTGCTTCCTAGAGTGACCTGTTCCGCAATCTTTTCATATTTGTTATTTTCAGATTCACATTGAAATCCTTTTATACTCTCTTTGAATATTATAATTTCATTTTAACTGCATCATAATGCTTTTATTTTAGGAATAAAAACTCCTCATATTTTTTTAGTTGTTTTTTTTTGCAATAGTGTTGAAATGAAATTAAAATTCAAGGCACACGATGAGCGGTAAAGAAGCGCATGGCTTGTTAGTTGATTGCAACTTTCAAAAAATTGGCTATGACTTTAAATTTTGATCTTATTGTATCAATTTGAATAACCGAAGAGATTTGGTGTGTATGTGTGTATGTGTGTGTGTGTGTGTGTGTGT